GAGGGAGACAGGGAGCTGACGTCAATGGACGTGACCTCGCAGCTAAACCTTGAACGTGAAGCCGGGATGGGGGAAAACACGGAGCGGCAGCCGGCGGAGCCCGCTAGTTCGCGCGGCGGCAACGGCAGTGGCGGATCCCAGGCCCAAGGGGGCCAAGGGAGCCTGTATGTCGACCCCGGGGGAGGACGAATCGCCGCCTTCTTTCTCCACTGCCCGGCTTCCAGCCTCGACAGCCTTCAGGCCGCACCGCAGGCTCTTGTCCTGCGCCTCCAGCCCCACGAAACACACGTTCCCTTGCTTGCTTCAGAAAAACAACACACCCCAAAACAACAAACCAAAAACAACAGATAACGAACCAAATCAAATCCCCAAATGCTTTAGACCAATGCTCTGATAGCTTATCAGAAAGAAGACTCTGACAATGGAACTTGATTTTTTTTTTTTTGGCTTCTCTCCACAAGAAGAGGAGGGGGAGACCTCAGACCACCGCAAATCACTCCTAAAACACGATAAGCTACACGTGTTTCCAGTAGGGAGAGGTAAATCGCCCAGCCGACTGGTGGGGGCTTCTTGTTTCGGTACCTATTTACCTGTGCACTCATTAAGCGCGTCGGCTTCATTAACAGCTATGCCAAGAGCGTGTGCTTCAATGTGATGGGACTGTCAAGTGTGTGTGTGTGTGTGTTGGGAAGGTGCTTGAGCTAGTGAGCACTGAGGCAGGCGCTGTGAGCGAGACGAGCGAGGGATTAGTGTCTCTACATGGCCACCTCTGGGACTCATGTTCGGGACCATCTAGGCCACATCTCCTGGACTGGAATTTGAATTTCATCCATTTGAAGGCGGGGAGGGGGTCAGAGAAGGCAGTCTCTGAACTGCCAGGCCCTTTCGATTACATTGTCTGGGGTGTTTAAGGTGCGAGAGATTCCGTGGCCGCAGGCCTGGGCGCTGTCTTGCCGGATTTAGCCTGGTGCACTTTTTCACTTGAAGCTCCGCAGCCTCGGCCAGGAGGTAGCCGCTCTCGGCTATACGGCAGGGAGGTCTTCAGACTCCCCCCACTGCCGGCCCCGCGCGCCAGCGTGTGCGTGCCCGCGCACTAGGCGGGGGGCCGCTGGCACCTCCCTGCGCACATCCGCCCCTGCCTCTGCTTGCTACCCTCTCCTGGGCAGCTAAGAAATGGTCTTCGGCCTCTTCTGGGCCAGGGCGGTGCAGAGACGGGGGCGGAGAGCAGGCTGCGAGCTGGCAAGGAAGGGGCGCAGGAGGCCGCGGTCTCGGCTTCCCAGTCCTACCCTTGGCCAGCAAGGCTGCGGTTTCGTCGTTCCACCTCGCAGCCTTAGCTTTGTTTTCCTGACATGCTCGTGGCCACTGGGCCCCACGCCGGCGATGGGAGCGTGTGCGTGTGCGCGGGGGGCGGGCGCGCGCGGCAGGCGGGGGCCCTCCCGCCAAGGACACGCATGACTGTATGTCCTCCGGCTGCACTTGGCGGGAAACCTGGGGGCCGCCGCGGGGCTGCGCGCCCGCGGCTCTCATTACCTCCTCCCTGCTCCCCCCGGGCCACATTTACATACGGGCCACTCGTCAGAATTTTTACAACGTCCCCCCTCCCGCCCCGGCCGCACACGCGCAGGCTCGGAACAGGCGCCCGCGCGCGCAGACACCCGCGCTCAGGCTGCGGCCGGCCGGGAGCGCGAACAGGCCCTTGGGTGCAAGCCGCCCTCGGCGAGACGGATTCTTGCACCTCCCTCTCTCGCCTACACCCCTGACAGCCTCCCCGATAGTGTTCCAGGAAGCCCACCTTCCCCTCAAGGCTCCCACCCTTCTCTCCCTGCACACTCCCACCCACACCCTCCCACATGTCTCTGCCTCTTTCCTTGGAAAACACACACACACACACACACACACACACACACACACACACACACACACACACGCTTTTTTCTTCCCCCTCAAATAGCTAACCAACCCCTATGGGGCGTCCCTGGTACCTTTTGAATAGCTCTGGACTTTACAGAATAAAAATCCTTATAATGTATTGCTGTCTTTAGCCAAACACATTTAACGACCACAACAAAAAAAGGGGGAGGAGTGAGGAAGGGGGACTTGAACCAAAAGACCTTTTTTCTTTTTTTAAGTCTGCAAGTCAAAAGGTCATTCTTCAAGTTTGTAAATAAAATTGCAAAGGAGTCCTTAAAAAAGAAAGGAGAGGAAAGAAGGAAGAAAGGTAGAAAAGATCCACAAGTTACATTAAATGATGCACTGGAAAAACAAGACAGGGCTATTCTTTTTTTTTTAAAGGGGAGGGGGGAGGGTAGTCTAAAGAAATCAAGAGGGGGAAAACTGAAGGAAAAAAGAAAAAGAGGGAGAAGAAAATAAAAGGTAGAAAAGGCAAAAGAAGTTTCCAAAGAAATGTGTGCTTTGCATCCTACAATAGGAAAATGTAGCCATTGCCCTCCTTCAGACGAGACATTTCTAATTTGTTCCGTCTGTCAGGAGGGGACTATGAGAGGTTTGGGTGCAAATTCATTATCTCTGGCAACGCAGAACGTAGTGTGGGGACTGAAAAAGACCGTGGCAATGGATGAACAATAGGGCTTCAGTTCATCAGTAACAAAAGCAGTGGGGAAATTGGTTGAGTTTCAGAGCACGTCCTCCTCGGCAGAGGGGGCTGGACTAGACCTTGGACAGCCCCCCCAAAAACTTGCCGAGCCTCGCACACACCACTTCACTCTCCACTCCGAGGCTCAGGGAGCAAGTGCCTGGCGTGGGGGGGAAAAGTTATCTTTTTTTCCTCCTTCGTCTTTGGCGCTTTTCTCTCTCTCCCTAGAAGAGAAGATCCGTTTAAACTATTTTAGACGCAGTCAAGCAAGAATCACCGTTTGGAACTGAGCGGCAGTTTTAAATGTGCCAAGGAGAGGGATGATCTGAAATTTTTTTTCTCTTTTTTTGAGACGCCGAAAGGAGACTGTGTACTGCGGCCGCCCTGTGACTCTGGATCTTGTCTTCTGGCCGGCACCTCGATTCCTGTCCAGCTGGATTGGCGGGAC